AGTGGTCATCCTTGCCTGAGTCCTGGTATCCTTATGTATTGCAGGTTCTGTTTCATACCTGATTGACCTCCATTCATTAATTGCTTTCCACTAGAACTGCTTGGAGAACTCTTGGTCAATGTATGTGAGGCTCAAAAGTCCACAGCATGGATGCCACCTGGTTTCCCATTCATAACCCCAGTGCAAGATTTCAGTAGCATTAAGGATTTGGGTTGGTAAATCGTATGGGTAACTCTTCCTCAGAGTAAACACCTTTCTGTATGAGTTTTACTGCAGATAAAAACCACTTTCACAATACTGCAATAAAGTCTGAGACCTGGTACAATTTGCTCTTAAACTTCAGGAGGATAGCTGCATTAGGGTAAACTACCAGCAAAAATAATGCTGCCTTGACTCAAGGAAGTTAGCCAAGAAACCAGCAAGAAAGCTAAATGGATCTTTTGAAAAGATATAGTCCAGAATTTGATATATGGTATCTCTCTCTTAGTGCTAATGCTTCTTGTGGAGAAAACTGGTAATTTTCAAGTGTCAATATGACTTTATTGGTAGCAAATAATAGGTGCAAGTCTTAAATTAGAACCTTGGCTGAGGCCCAGCCTTGGCACTGCAGAGTGCTAGGGGTTAATGGAGCTATTGTGGGGGACAGCACTTCACTGAAGGATATAATCAAGGTTACTCTGGCCTTTTTTCATAGCTGGGTTTGTTGAAGTTAAAGATTTTATTGTACCTATCAAAAAAGCAGTAGATAATCCTGGACTTCTGGCCGATCTGCCCTCTCTCAGTTAACAAACTCTTTGAGCTATTTTATAAAATGGTCAATCTTTCAGTACTGCACTTTTAGGCAGTACTGGGTTACAAGCTTGTAGACTTGCCATATTGTATCAAATCAGGGGTCCACCTCATCAAGCATCTTGGTTCTGATAGCAGAATATCCCTCCTTTTTCTCTAAAGTTGCTTGTATCCTGTTCAGGAGTGACATTATTAGGATTTGGAAGAGGCCATGTCACACTCTCCTCAACCACACACACACACACACACACACACACACACACACACACTCACTATGGGGACCTGGGTTCTTCATACCTTATGCATCAACATTAGGAAATAAAAATATTTTGCAGACCAAATTATAATCTTAATCATAGCCCTTCAGCCTCATTACCCTCACTGACATTGCACCAGTATGCCTGATTAGTTCTGTAGTAAGATCTCAGCAAACAGCTATGCTATTGGTGCACAAATAAAAATAGGATTCAGCTTAGTTCCCTTGAGCTTGGTGGATTTCAGAAAGCAGCAGCCGTGGGAAGAATGACAGCAACAGGAAGAGGTCTACTAATGGTAAGAGGGAGGTATTCAAATTGTGATCTAGTGGCCATTTAAAGGCCTTCCATGTACTAAGCTAGCATTGTGGGGATGTTGGTGCACTGTTCTCTGCCCAGCAGCTTTTCTGATGGAAGAGCTGAAAGTGTAACCACTTGCTTACAGTTCCTGTGCTTTTTTTTGTTGCCGACTTAACAGACAGGGAGAGAAACAGAAATAATGCACTTATTTCTACCATAGCAATGGCAGAAAAGGAAAAAAATCCTGACATGACCTGAGGCTAAATAGTGTGTTGACAAAAAGTATAACATAGGGACAGTTGTGCCCTCAAACTTTATTTTCTACTTATGACTATGTGAGCTACATGCCCCAAAATGTCCTCTCTCCTTGGCATAAAATACTGTTGACTACACTTGTTTTTAATTACCTAAAGTACTAGGTGTCCTGTAACTGCATATAAACACTGAAAATAGTTTTAACAGTCTGCAGCCATGTCACCTCAGGATATGATCTCATTATAAACCTGAGGAAGATCAGTACTTGGAAGAGAAATCTCAGAGGAAAGGGAGATAACTAGCAAATGGGTGAGGGAAGTGCCATGAACCAAGAAGTAAGTCACTGCCCCACAACAGTGCTATAGCACAAAGCACCTTCTTTGAGCACAATCTGAAACCAAAACACCAAATATTTATGATTGTTAGAGATCTCTGGCTACAGTTAGCAAAAGTGCAGCAGAGAAAATTCAACTGGGGAGTTTATGGCTTAACAGAAATCACCAAAGTGTTTTTCCGTAAGATAAAATACTCCACTTGACTATCTGCTCTATCTATTGTGTATTCCTTCTGTGTGTGTTTGATGTAAAATGCAAATTACTCAGAAGGTCACATTCTAGAAGTGGGAGAAATGGCCACAGTATAAAATGTGTACAATACGATAAGGAATTACACTGTTGTAGTGTCTCTTATCCAAGGTTAGTAAAGCTTGCTACAAACTTTACAAGCACTTTACAAACCCTAGCAAGTAAATCTAATGAGATTCCTGTCAGGTGCTATTGTTTTACAGATGCAAGAGCTGAGGTATGAAGAGAATAAAAGATTTACCCAGGCTGACACATTGAGTCAATGATGGAAATGGGAACAGAATTTATAATGCTAATTCCTTGTCCTGTGTCCCATTAGACCCTGCTAATTACTGCTAATTTCTTGTCCCACTAGACCAGTGGTTCTCAGACTTTTTAAACTCAAGGCACTCTCAGAAAATGCTAGCTCTTAATTTTCACTCATTTTTGACTCTAGATAAACAATGGAGCAATTATTTTATCGCAAAGAACTCAAAAAGATGCCAGCAAAACAGAATGCTTTCAACACTATGAATTCCTATTCAAAATCTTTTGGTTTATCTTATGACTTGTATCTGCACATCTAACAGTGCTAAAGCTGCATGATGGCACCCATAAAAGGATCACAAGGCACCCCCAGGGTGGTATACAATCCTGGTTGAGAATCATTGCACTAGGCCCTCTTCCCATTTCTTGAATCACGTTGACTATGGCATATCTTCTCTAATTAACTGGTGGTTGGTTATGTTTGTAAAATGCTTTGAGGTTCCTTCGGGATGAGAGGTCCTGTATAATAATTAACAGCTGTAAATAAAATGTAACATTTGCCTTCTCTTGAAACAAATATCAAGGTTTATTTACCACAAGGCACAATAAATCTTGATGTTCACTGACAACACATGTATTTTCTTGGCTAGATATTAATTCCGTGCTTGAGAAACCACCTCTCACTGATGACAGTTTTGCCAATTATTACCGTGTCTCTAACCTTCCATTTCTGGGGAAGGTTACTGAGAAGATCCTGATAACAGAACTCTAGCTGTACTGGGGGACCTTCCATTTTTCTCCATTCCCTTTCATTCAGGCTTGACTATGGCTGCCCTGTTCTCATTGGGAAAATATCTCCTCTGGAAATAGGCAAAGGACAGTGGCTGAGTACTCCACTGCACAGTAGAAAAGGAAGTTTCTTTGCTACTCAGCCCAGGTGTAAGTTAAAACTGCAGGGGATGTCTTCTGTGGCCTGTTACATCTCCTTCCCTTTTTTGCACTTTATTCCCCACTATGACTTCCCTCTTTCTAGTTCCACCCACCCCTTCAATTAAGGTATAGCACAAAAAGCACAGAGGGCGGAAAGGCGGCTGGCCATGTTTACCATCTTTATACTGGTGAACATTCTCCAAGGGAATCACAAGGTGCTACCAAATCTCCTTGCCCTATACTTTGCTCTAGTTTAGCCAGGGCAAGGCAACTTAGCAGACTAGAAAAATCCGGCACTAAACATCTGTACTGCCTCCTTTAGATCCAGAAATTATCTTTGATACCATAGCCCAGGGCTATCCAACTTCTAAGCAGCTGAGGGCTGTATGCCATGTGGACTGCAGCAGTGGAGGCCACAACCCCTTTAGCCCCCTCCCCTGCTGCAATGTGCAGCCCCTTCCCTACATACACACTGCTGCACTGCACAACACTCTTCCTTCCCTGCACTGTGTGCATGGGCAACCTCTTCGCACCCCACTGATAGCCATTGCATTGTGTGGGCAGCATCCCCACCTGAGCCCTCTTGCTGCACTGTGCCATGGACTCCACTGGCACTGGGGGCAGTGTTGTCTTTTCCTCCAGGGTAGGACCTGGAAGTGAAATATGGGGACCAAGCTGAGTGGGAATCAAAGGACCCCAGCTGCAGCCAGAGCAACAGTGGGAGCAGTGGTCAGATAGGAGTCTAGGGGTTGCCCATTAACTCCTGATGGGCCATGTCACAGCAGGGTCCTGCAAGGAGGGCCGTGATCTCCTTACGGCTCCCTCACTGTGCCAAGTCGGTCCAAGGGCACCCTCAAATTCTCACCCGCCACATCTTTGATGGTTAGATAAAGTTGGGAGGCTGCCTTACGACTCCCTGGGCAGTTAGCTGGGACCTCTGTCCCCGTGTGTTTCCAGACCCCCTGGGGTCTCCCAGTATGATGGGTGCTCCCCATGCACCCTAGCCTTATGGGCTACACGTGGCTCCTACCAACCCCCAATACCACGCCCCAAGCCTCGCTGATGGGATAGACGCTAGT